TATATATATATCTCCACAGTTTTCATAGATTGGTTTACATGAAGTGGCTAAACTTCATGTTTGTTTACCTGACACATTTTAAATTGTAAATCTAAAACTATAGCTTTTAAATTACAATTTTGTATCGAAAACTTCTCTACTCTTCATTGTTTGGAAATCTGAGTCATATTTCCCTAAAACTTGTACTTGCCGTTTGTCTGGCAGCCAAGTGGTGATTTTAGAAGAACCAGAGAACATGTCCGGAACATGTGCTTTACATCCTCACCGTCTTCCAGCTGAGTGGACAAGGTGAGTGTGAGTAGAATGAGGGTGAGATGGAGTAAAAGCAAATCTTGTGGCCAGTGGGGCCTCCACTATCAGCTTGTTTCTGTCAACGGTTCGCCGTGCCACATGGGTGCATCCATAATGCGAGCATGTGTCAACACACATTTTGCATATCTGGTAATGCAGCTCCCAGGAAGGATCTGACTTGTGAAAGCTCCAGTGACTACTTTAAAATGTACCCAAGAGAGTTGAGTTGCATATTGTAGAAAAAGTGAGAAAATCAAAACTAGCATCTTGCACGTTCTCTTTTAAGAGTTTCCTAAATTTGCAGGTGCACTGCTGCTTCACAGGAAGCCAGAACCGCCACATATCAAGTGAGGGGGAGGGCTTGTACAGAGTGACTGCATCCTGACAACAACCTCTGATTACACCAATCCGAACAACACAGTCTGGGTGAGGGCAGGAGCAAAACCAGACAGTACACCTCCACAATCGCTCAGCAAATAAACAGCAGGCCTGACTCACTCAAATTCTACTCAACCCTGTCGACGAGGAAGTCTGCAAACGGGGCGATGTCGTTTCAGGAGAGCTGCGGATGAAAGATAAGTCCAGCCGGTTGAAAGCTCCAGCTGTGGCTCAAATTTTAATGAGCAATTTTACTAATTAAATATCCCAGACTCAATTTTAATCAGCAGATTTTGGAGATTACCAACATCCTGTTCGCAGACCTCACACAATCGTGCAAGTTAGGCTCCAATGCTTCACCAGCCTCATCTTCAGGAAAAAAGTCAAACCAACATTTCATTTCCCCAAAGTGAATATTCTTAATACAAAAAAGGTCAAACTGTTCCACAGGACCGACACCCAATTAGTGTCAAGTGTGACTAATTATAATCTGACAAACGTGTGAAATGAAGTCAGAAACCCAAGACAGAGGCTAATTATAGCAGATTGAAGCACTTCATTAAACACAGCTTATAGCAAGGAGACATTCCACATCAGAATGCTAAAATTGCTCTGAGATGAAAACAGCAGCTCCACTGCAGACACATGAGGAAGTCTGTTGGGATGTAAGAGTGAAACAGTCCAGCAAAATAACAAGAAATACTTTTTAATAAAAAAAATAAATAAAAAATTATCATGACAAACACTGCTGATTTGTGTAAAAGCATTTAAGTGGAAGCCATGATTTTCCTGGGTAATTCCCTCATTGGCAAAACTGAAACATGGCACAGATGCAACGTTTTTTTCATTTTTTTGCAGTTCTTCCAGGGATAAAGGTGGGTAGTTATCTCCCTGCAGGCCTCTGTGAGTGTTCTGCAACATTTTAGGAATTACTCCGGGAATTTAAAATGAGCTTTTTTTGTAGCTAGGGAGTCAATTACCTCCACATGGAAAACCACATGTAGGAGAAAAGCACGACCAGGCCCAAAACTGTAGATTGATTTCTCTGCATAGTGGATCAAATTGTTCAAGATGTAAAGACATGGAGATAAAGACATATAGCAGCAAAAGCCAAAGTTGGACATAAAGGAAAACATCTGTAATAAACCTCATAGTGCTGCCATATTATTTATGTTTTGCTCATAGTTAGAAATATGTTTTTACTTAATGCATGTCCAACCTCCACACTAGTAGATTTTTTTTACTTTTATTTGATTGTAAAGTGACCAACATTCAACTGCAAGGACTGTAAAACAGCCATGGTTATATGAAAACATGCAAATTATAGATATACAAGGTAATCGCGCCAGCGATCATAAACATACAATTTTCAGCTTGAATGGGCCATACTGGAAACTTAATAAATAATCCTTTTCCTGGTCAGTGACCCCATCATGTTAAGAGTTACCAGGTCAGTAGTTAGAAAAGCTAATTAAAAGGAAATATCGACATTTCTCATGTCATTTTTTTTTTTTTTTTATTCTGGTCATTTGCAAATTTTCCACAAGAAAAAAGAAAGCATAAACCAAAAGTAGTTGAAAATGTTAAAGGAATGTTTATTTTATCTAATCTATACACCATTTTAAAGATTTCCTATGCAGTGCAATTTGACAAAAGAACAAAGTTAATACTTTTGTCAGTTTCTAATTAATATATTCTCTGTAATGAATAGGTTTATTCAGGCTTGAGAGCAGCACAGCAGCAATGTACAACATTATGGACTTATTTATCAATGAATAACCAGAAAACTAGAAATGCAAAAAGAAGCTGGCATGTGACCAGAAGCAGACAATTTTGTTTTCATTCGCTGGTTGCCCTTTTCTCAGTTAGCAAACACACAATATGCAAGGGCTAAGACATAGAGCTTGACAAAAACAGTGTGTGCGTCATTTAATGAAGAACATATTTTAGTATCAGTGCGGTGTATACAAGGAAGTCAATTAAAGTACAGATATGTAAAAACAGGACATATAGGGCACTGAGATCCCTGTGGTTCACTCAGGCTGCAGGAGAGTGAGAGACAGCAAGTCTTCAGCAGATAACAAAAAGGTTCAAATGGTTGGATTTCCAGTTAAAATAAGGACCCCAAATTCTGAGTTCTGCTGAGTTTTAGTAATGGTAGCCATGCTACTTGCTAACGTTAATTTTTTCCATAACACTTATGCGAGCAAAAATAGGCTAGTTATTTGACCTCTCACGCATCTCAATTTTACAAGAATACAGGCCGTGTCTGTTCTCGCAACTGAGGTTGCAGAACTCAGCATGGCCTACAACTCAGAGAATTCATCTGCTTAAAACCTGTGCGGGAAAATCCCACATATAGCACTGATCTCTGTCAAAAAGCCTCATGCAGGAAGGCTACCCAACTGCATTCAATACTTTAAATACAAATAAAGCTGTCGGGTGCCATCTTAAGCATGTTATCATCTCCATCAGATTCTGCTGATCAATGTATTCCTCCGATCAGACATGACATGATACGATGATGTTAAAGTTCTATGCGCATTGCTTTCGTCTGCACTACAATCCCTTTACTGTTCATAGTGGTCACAGGTTTATGACTACCTCCCGAGATGGTTCCAGAGCGCAGTATTGGTGGGTCAAATTCAAGCCCCGCTTCAATCTGCATCAAGGCCTTTTAGTTGATTGTGAGGTGTAATAAGCTCACAAAGATCACGGACCAAAAGGATCATCTGATAGGGGTTGATGATAGACGTAGTGGTTTTAGATCAAACAGAAGATGAAGGAATAACTGTCCCTATTTATGCATCAAAGTATAAGTATCTGAAGTATATCTGATCATTATTAAAGTACAAAAAGTGCAACAACACAAAAATTGCTGGTTGATGAGCTCATACACTAAAAATGATGGGAGTTCTTAGTTTTTATGGATTCAGTGAATAGGAAATTAGAAATTCTGTTTGTTTTTTGTCCAAATTTGTCTAATTCTGATCTCTGGTTTTATGATTGGTATATCACTACAAATATATTCATAGTAAATGTAGTAAAATGCAAACAAGAGTTAGCATATAAAGGTGAAGACAAAGAAGCAAAAGTAACAAGATTGGAATCAAAATGCAAGATACAATTTGAGCACAACTTATTTTTCTCTGCAGGGTTTGTGGTTGCTTTGTGGTAATTTTTTTCTAAGTTTGGTTCCTCGGTGAGACTGAGGCAACCCAGAAGCCCGTTGCGTGACAACTGGTCCAGGAATCTGCACCTTGATCCTCCACTTCCACTCCACAGAGGTTGCACGGTACCTCTGTGGAGGAGCAGATGGTTCTTCTGCTTCAACCCAGCACTTCCTCCCAGTTGGAGCATCTCTCTGACAGATGGGCCCAGGATCCTGGACCAGGCTAATCTCCAGCACTCCTCCACTTAAAGGCACAGTGGAACTACAGCTCTACCTCCTCAGTCCCCACTGAGCCAGGATCATTAGGAGACATCAATAAAGCCAGCCTGACTGCTGCTGTCACGTACAGCTGAACCGATCATGCATTAGAAGCTTTACTAAATTATAATGCAATTTTGCTTTAAAATGACAGGAAGCAGGAGGCTAAGTCGCAGTTATTCCACACTGTTAACATTAGAGAAACAGTACAACAGAACAAAGGATAAATGGGGGAAAAGATGGGATATTTCCTTGAAAGTCAGGGATTTAAATTACTTTTGCACACATTGTTTAATTATTCAATTTCAAACTAAAATTGCTGTCACTTTTTTGTAAATTCGCATGTCTTGCTTGCAAATACAAAATGCCTCCTCCCTTTCTCGCCCGTCTGCCTGCTTGCTTGCTTTGCTTTGACCAAGTCTTGACCACGTCTGCGCTCCATGCAGCCAAAGTTGACATGTCGACAATTCCCACAACTATAAGGGACTTTGGAAATACCAGGAGATATTCCGCTGCTGCCTGTGCCCGAGCCAGCTCGAAGGGAAATCGGCTTTTAATCATTCGCTGCGGCGAATCGGCACGTTGTCGACAGTTTTCAAATAAATGTACAGCACAGGAGAGGCGACACTCTGCCTGAAGCAGAGGCGAGAGAAGCCCCCTTCAGTGCTAAGATAATGTCAAGGAGCTGTGTGCTCGTGTTAGTCTAAATGCTGAAATTCGGCAAAATAAAAGAACAGCAGAGGGCTACTTTGACATGAAAGAAGTATAGAAAATATATTCGGACAGCTTCGCCTGCCTTACACAGACGGCTGGAAATGACGCACACGAACGGAAATCACCAATGTACTAAGTTGGCAGCAAAGTAATTATTCAGAATTTGATAAATGTCTAAATTACTTACGCTTTCAGTGGATTCTGAATGACAGCCGCCATTTTGCTAGAATGTAACGCAATATCGGCGTCTTGCAGTTCTGAGGGAAACCTAGGGCAACTGACCAATCGGAACGCGAGGCGAATTCGTGGACCAATCCACGGCAAGCGTGAGCGGATGGGGCGTGGCTTCATAGGGGTAAACTGTCAAAATTATTTTAAAGGGTTTTCCCTTGTATTCATATTGTACACAATTGAATTTCAACACTTTTAAAGAGACCATCCACTATATACCCGAAAGCTGACTGTGGAATTTTTGGTGTAATAAAATAGCACATTTTAAATGGCAATGAATGTTAATATGGAAAAAAAAAAATATTTTCTTTATTAAAATAAGCATAAATCATTTAGCATATTTAATAAGCACACTAAATCTTTTCCCACTCACTATTTCTGTGGTTGCAGTGTTTGACAGGAATGGAGTGCACACAATCTCTTCCTCCCACATACAGTACGTGAAGAGATATAAAACACACACACACACACTTGCACTAAAAAACATGGAGGCAGCTCCAGATTATGTTTTGACAGACGGGTGCTGACACAGCTTTAATCCTTTGCAACTCCCCCACCAGTCTTCTTCAAGTCAGATTCAAACAGTTTAAAGTAAATCACTCATTCCTCCTTGTTTGTAAATGAGAAGTATTAAGTGTTAAAAAAGTCAAAACATGATAAATGAGATATGAACAGACAGGACTACAACATTTTGTATTCTATTATGTGCAAGACTGCTAGGGGAGTCTTTGATTGAACAATAAAGCAAATAAATCTATTTGAGACCAGGCAGCCTAACCTTGATCAGAGAAAAAAATATAACTATCCACAAAGATCTATATTTCTTTATATTTCTTTGTTTTAACCAACAAAGGCATCCACCCTTTGTGCTTTCCATGACATCACTGTGTAACAGGCAGGTTACTCAATAAAACTAACAATGGTGCAAGCCAAGTTAAAACTCTGTTACATCATGCGAGACAAAGTGTCAGAACAGCTAGATCTGAATATCACTATACCAGTCTTGGGCTAAAAACATAAAATAAAAATAAATAAAGATCAATTGGCTTAGTTTCCAACACAAGAAATATAAATATACATGTACAGTAATATGAAAAAAAAATACAATGAGGATGGACCAAAAAAAAAACCCTTTCATAACAGCTTACGTAAATGCAAAGAGTTAAAAGCTGCAACAGTCCTTATCTCACACATTGCCTTGCAAAAGTACTGATACCCATTAAATATTTCCATTTATCAGTTAAATTTATCATCAAAAGATTAAAAGAGTGTGGTACAATTGCTGTGTGGAGGGAAAACTAACACCACACATGGCGCTGAACATAATGTAGTATCCTACTGTGGGGATGTTTTTTATTAATCATGGAGAGGGAAGCTGGTCAGAGATGATTGGATGATGGATGGAGCTAAATAAAGAGCAACCCTGGGGAGAAAACCTGTTGGAGTCTGCGAAAGACTTGAAAGTACAGCAGAGGTTTACCTTCCAAGACGGTTGCAACTCTAAACATCCACACAGACGTATAATGGAATACATCAAAGTGTATTAATTTGTTAGAATTTTGCCAACTCCACAGTACAATTTTCAGATGGACATATGTAAAATATATCAGAAAACCATGTTTCCTTGTCTTTCCACTTCACAATTATACACTTCTTTGAGTCGGCGTAGGACCTAAAATCCTAATAAAACACATCAAAGTTTGTGATTTGCTTAAAAGAGTGGGTATAAATATGTTTTCAAGGTACTGTGCCGATGTTCAGTTTGGTTACTGAATAATGAAAAACTAGTTTGGAGAGAAATCCTGTTGTTGTTTTCCTCTGGTATTCCATGATCTACAGATACGAGTAGGTAGTACATGTATTGAAATGCACATAAAAATAAAACCTAAACATAAAATGCAAATATTTTGTAACATCTAAACTCTAAAATGCCACCTGGCAAGAGATATGCTAAGGTTGATTCAGATCTTATTGTCTGAACAAGTAAAAAGGCCATAGAGTTCCGAGACTGTAATGCCAGACAGTGTGCTTACAAGCATTTTTTTTTATATATAATTAACATTTAAATATTTTTCAACAAGTCAGATTCACACACCTCTGTGAGTTCATACAACCACAAATCGCATGATAGAATATAAACATTACATTTGCACAGACACAATGACCTGAATACATTTTGGCACACCAGAAATCCAAATCTGAAACTACTGTTGCAGAGTTTAGCTCAGTTTGTAACTGCATACTTCCTCTGCTGGATACCTAACTTTTGGCCATCTCAAGCAACAGCCTATAACAGCTGAAAAAAGGCTTAGTGCAAAAACTAAAATCTTGCAATGCATGCATGCAACGGAACCTGCAGTTATGCCTAAACAAATATAAAATATCACACTTTCATTACACGCCCAAGATCAGAAACAACCAGTCAAGATAGGTTTTGCTGGAGTCATAACCACAGCAACCGACCATCATCTTCAACAATCAGCCTTTCAAATAATGCATTTTTTAAAATATTTTCTAATAATAGAAAAATACCTCAACAGCTTTGTTTAACGGAAAAGTTCTGGATTTATGTCCATAATGATCAAAATATGAAGCTAAAATTCAGGTCAAGTAACCCCCATGTTCTGTGTGTTCTAGAAAGGCCACAGGAACTCTTAAATTCAAATTTGCTAAAATATTGAAGTATTCCCTATGTTTTCCTTTCCATATATGCAAGACCAATCCATTAGAGTAGCAGGTGTACACCTGAGTAGTGACAGACTGCCAATGAGTGAACAATTCTCTCCGGTGCTAAGAGGAAGGAAAAGCAACCATATCAAAGTTCTCCAGGTTTCTGGTTGCAGCCGGTGCACACGCGGACAGGGTGATCCCAGCCCCGCGAAGGGACCGTTCGACGCTGTGGGGAGCACTCGTCACACACTCCTTGGCCACAGGCACGGCAGTGGTGCTTGGAGAGCTTGGCAGTGAACTCGCGCTGGCAGTTGTGGCACAACAGGATGTCCTGGTCAGGCACCCAATAGGCAGGACGGGCTGCGTCTTTCATGAGGCCTAAGGAGAAAACGGAACAAAAATATAGTCAATCGACAACACACAAACACGTCTTTGACAATATTATATATATATATATATATATATATATATATATATATATATATATATATATATATATGACTTTGAGTCATATAAAAGCAGCAAGGTGAAGATTAATATTGCTGAGAAAAGAGTCCGAGATCAAGACGGAGTTTAATCTGTCAGTCTGATGATAAATAGCATTAGACCTACTGAAAAGTTGCTGAAAAACTTAGTGTCCTGGAAAAAGTACTCATGCATATTGAGCAGTCTCACATTTTGTCACATTATAATCACAAACTTCAATATTTTTTTTAATGGAGCTTAATGTGATAAGCCAACACAAGTTAGTGTATTCATTGTAAAGTGAAAGGAAAATTACCCTTTTTTACAATCAATTAGAAAAACACATGGCATGAATTGGTATTCAGTGGACCTGAAGCTACTCTGTAGAACCACATTTTGCTGCAGTTACATCTGCAAGTCCTTTTGGTTAATGGGGTATGTCTCCACCCTCATCCTTCTTTGCATCATGGCTCAAGCTCAGTCAAATTGGATGGTCTGTGTAAATTTTTTAAGTCCTGCCACATATTCTCATTTAGGTCTGACCTTTGACTGAGCCATTCAAAAACATGCGTATGCCTTGATCTAAATCATTCAATTTTAGCTCTGCAATAAAACATGTTGTTTTGCACTTGTAATGATGCAAGATGTGAAAAAGTATCAACATTATGACTTTGAGTCAAAATAATGGAGAAAGATATTGCTCAAGTTCCCTTTACCTGGGAAGTATTATATATCCTTAAGTGTATATAACACTTTACGGAAATTAGACCTGCAGAGTACATATAACTTTTTATATCATAAACAAATTTTTACCTAACTACAGGCACTAAAAACACTGATTGTGCATATTCTTAATCATAAATGTCTCAAGTGGACCATTACTATGTGGTGAATAAAATCTTTAGGAGACATGATTCTTGTTACCATGGAAATAAAAAAAACTAGTAAGTAGGTGGTCTAATTTTGTTGTGATTGGAGTAGAGTTTGCTCTGAGGTATTTTAGGGATGGCCATGGATACAGAGACATTTCCAACAGGATATCAGGTTATCAAAAACATATTTATCAAAGCCTTTGAGAAGTACATTTAGGTCAACACCAGGCTAGCATGTAATAACCTAACAAACACATTAAAACAGTCAATATATTTCTTAAGAAGCAAATCAGGCAAGAGAATATCACAATATGTCACTCATCGAACACAACAGAGCCGTGTTTCTGACACATGTTTGTTTCTGACACAAATAAGTCCCTTTAGTGCTACACAATATATCCATTAATAAAAAATACATGCATTGAGTTCAACACAGCAGATAAAATTTGACGATTCAGTTCAATGAACAACTCTGTTGCTAGCTAGATTTTTCCTGGTTTTGTTAAAGATTCATTTCATGATACAGATTCACATGACGATTCAGCCGTTTTATAAGTTCTATTTTGGGGAGGAGGTTACTTTCCTCAAAAGTTTGAGTTTACTCGGGACGTTGAGGGAGGGGCTAGAGCACTGATCACATTTGCAGCCTGGTAATCTACTTTTACACAGACAGAGGCAGTGCACACTGAATTTAAAGTAAAAAAAATATGGCCTCAGAAAGCTATGCTGGGATTTGAAAAAAGTTATTGAGGAGGAAATGCACCTACTAACAAAGAATCAATAGAAGACAGCCAGAAACTTAGGCTGCAGTGTCTGAAACATATTGATAATGAATTAGAAAAGAGTTGCAGCTGTGAGAAGAAATAACTAGTTCTTAACAATTAGAGTTCAATTCTGACTGGAGGGATTGAAGGACTTAGATCTAACTCCTTCATAAAAACAGCTGCAAACTGAAGAAATTCAACAGACAGTTTTTTGTTGTGTGTGCGTATAAATACAAAACACTTCTTTGAGCATTTCATTATGTATAGAGCTCTGAATAAAAAGAATAAA